GCTTTTTGCATTATATTCATAATGCCAAGCAGGCTTGGGTGAAGTTGCACTCCTGGATTGGAAGGTGTTATTGATGGCAATGCAACAGCGGGGACCATTGTAACAGTTGGAGATTCTTGTAAAAATAGTAATGAGTGATGCTATGTGGGATGTATTGGAAGAAAAAATGTATTTCCTGTCAGGCAGTGTTTCATAGTCTAGGACTCCAGTATGTTTAGACTCATGAATAAAAGTCTTAGATGATTATAAGGAATTAAATGATGATTACCCAATGACTCTAAGCTTGAGGACAAGCTTTTTTTCGGAAAGATTGAGTGATTTAATAGCCCGACACCAAAGTATTGAGTACAGATGCAATGACGTAACAACTATTCAGTATTGTATAGAGCTACCTTATATGGAATATTTTTTTATATCAAATGGTCCTAAGCTAAAGATCTTTATCCACAATGGGTGATCGACCGGTGGAGCCGGTAGGGTTCCCTGTACCTTTTCCTACAGCTTAACTCGTTTCAACCTCGTGAATTTCTGCCAAAATTGTAGCTGATTAAACAGAAACAAAAAACATCGAAAATCAAAACACCGAAAGATAGAAGATTTCTCCATTTTGGACCCAAGGAATGCACTATTCGCACATTCCATTGTCTGTCACACCTTCCAAATGACAAATCTGCCCAATCTCTGTTGAGAGCAAGAAATAGGTTAGCAGGCACATTTGATCCAGCCGGCATCCTGCTATTAGTTAGTACATGCCTATGAGGGGTATTGTCAAGGTCGCTGTGTCCTCAAGCTTCTTCTTCAAATTCCATAACTCCGAAACCTTATCCCTCGGCCATTGAGACGTCCTTCGCTGAGGCGATAATCGCCTCTTCGGCCCATTTGGCTGCAGCCTGAGCTCGTGCCACCTCCGCGTTCTCCCTTGCTCGATGTGATAAATCCACGCGAGCTGATCTTTTATCACAGATCCGGATTTACTGGTTCTGGCTTGGCAGTCCCTGGAATCTGATGTGTGAGGTCCCCCACAGTTGCGACTTCTAGTAAGGCCTTTTACTCGGCTCCCGGGTGCATATTTGATCCGCAGTCCCAGAAGGCTGGAGCACGGGAGAAGCCACGGGTGGTATTGAAGCCCATACAGCGTTTGCACTGTTCAATTTTGAGACGAAGTTTGTGGACGATCGCCACTCCAGACTCGTCAAAAAAGCGGAAGCACGCACGGGGTGCAGAGTCCCGGTGAAAGAGAGCATGCCAGTTGCGATATAGAGCCCCGGGTCGGAATGCACCATGGGGCCGCACTTGAACTCGTCTTTTGCCAGTCACTCGTTGAATTTCGCTCTCGACCCATATGTCGTTGAGTTCCTCATCTCCCAACTTCATTTTGGCCTTCACGAGCACGTTGGAGACCCTCAGGGCAACAAGTTCCGATGGTGGTTCGATTTTGGCGTTGTGTTTTGCCAATTTTGACGAGATATCTAGAGGAGCCTATGTATTTTCTTCGGAACCTGGTGGAAAGGCAAATCTCAATTTGACTCATTAAACTGAGTTGATATGATTGCCGTCGCGGATAAGTTACTCGATAAAAGCTTTGGCATCCAGGGAAGATTATTTCCGCCATGTATGGTCGCTTCCAAGGCAAAGGAACAGTCGATTGTCGACTTTCACCTTAAGAACTTTTTTATATTGAGCTTTTGCCATAGGTCGCGGCACAGCCTTTACAGTTGGGACTGCTTTTTGACGCAGTCTATTTCTGGCCACCGTTGCCTAGGTACTTTTTACAGGAAGCACTGGGACGGCGGGTAACTTTTGGCTCCTGGCGTTGGGAGCCCTTGGGAGAGGGTTCGCCGGGCGAAGAGGGAGAACGGGTGGCGTTGAGGCCATGTATTGCGCAATGACGGCGACTAGGTAGATTCTCATTGAGTATACGAAATGTCTGCTTGGTCCGTTGATCAAAGGGAGGAGGGTTGCGTCGACGCCAGAGTTGGTAGCGGAATAGAGTGCCAGATTTGCTGCTGTTTCGGCGGCGTGTAGTTGTTCGGCTTCGAAGATTAGTCGAAATTCTGGGGGGCAGTCTGTTTTCGTGGCTGCTTTAGGCTGCGAGTCTTTCGTTGAAGCTGTACTTGGAGCAACTTTCTCCGACAGTTTTGGAGCGGCTGGAGGAGGTTCGGATGATTCCATAATTCCGTAGGGGACGGAAGATGGTTGAGAAAATTCATCAACAATTTCAACTGACCCGATCATGTCAGTATCGGGCTCAGCGACAGCTTTTTCCTTCCCTTTAGTTGAGACCTTGCTCATCTCCACGCATTTCGGAGACTGGGCAAGGCCAGGTAATTGTTCGAGAGCCCTCAGGTGGACTCTCGTGTTGTCCAACTTGGCGTTGGGACGATTTTTACGAGCTGGAGGCATAGTGAAAATGCCAGGGGCTCGATCAAAATTCGAAGATGGATGCGATGATTTCGAAAGGGGTGGAGAAGGGGAAATTTCTTGAATTGTGCGATTGATGTGTTTTGTATATTAACGTGCTAGGCAATTGGCATCCTCCGCACTTCTATGGAAGCTTGAGCACGAGTGGGGCCGGGCCGGATCAGGTTAACCACCATTTAGTACATCTACCTCGTCCCACCAAAATGACCGGACCACCTCAGACTTCACCCATGTGTTGAATCATGTCAAGCCCAACCGTCCAGGAAACCCCCTTTTGGCGTTCCAAAGCGCAAATTCCTCCCCAGCCTCGGCCACAACGCACCCGAGCCTTTGACACCTTCGCGATCTGTGACTTTTCCTTCGATTCATTCCCAGCTTTAGCTCACCTCAGCATCTCTTCATCTTATCTAGGGGTCATTTTCTTCATTTGAGGCCTCATCCAGTCGCCCACCAAGGCCTCCTCAGTTTATATTCCCTTTTTTTCCCTCCCACATGCAGCATCCCTTTGTATTCTAGCCAGCCTCGTCATCCCCGAAACTTTGTAGAATGTCCACCCCTCTGGTCTTGCCCCGTCGCTGCCGTACCCCTAAGTGTGGAGATCGAAAATGTGATTAAGGTCTCAAGACGGAGGCACCGGTGCCCCAGCCTTTGTCGAACGCTCTGGTTGATGTGCCGGCGAAATGTCGTTCGTATTTCATCAGTGACGATTCGTCGCAGGTCGAGTTGTTGGTGCCCTTGGCCGAGGTGAGGACGCATTTCAGGCCGGTATTTCAACCGTATCCTCACAGCGGCTGGCAGCTACGGAGGGTCGGAAATACTCTTGCTTCTTTAATGACGATTTGGCTTTTGGAGGTATGGGATTGCTTCGCTAGTTGATGAGATAATTGTGGAGAGGGCTGCGAGATGAGTTTGGCAGGGAATTATTTTCCGGAGAAAAAACAAATAAGATCTTGAAGGTGTTTGTTGTTGTAATCGAACATCAGACAGGTTATAGCCTATCTGCGGTTCGTATCTGGGGTGTAGATGGTTGATTTCGCTGAGTTTTGCAGTCGTGAAATCTCTGCAAGTCGGATTTTCGACCAAAAATGAGCCAACACCACTCCTCCCGACCGCCAACTCGACGAAAACTCCTAAATTCACCCTTTTTCGTGACTGAATCTCGGCTATGGGGGAAGTTTTCACTCCCAGGTTCGTAGAGGACACCACTTACAGGTGTTCAGCCCTCGTCCCCCCCGCATGGAATGCACGGGCCAGGTGTAAACTATCTACTCTTATAGATTTGTAGATGATTTCATTTCCCCCTCTTCGCTAGTTTTGAATCTTATATATTAAAATCCTGATCTGAGTCTATCCTTCATTCGACATTGTCATCGGTTAGCTCCTGCTCTTTCTGGACACTCACATAGACATTAGGAGAGCCCTGCACCTCGTAATTTTCGAGGCTTTTCCCTGAAGCTACGCATCCGAAATTGATCATCGTTTCGTTGGCAGGAAATGGGAGATAGTGACGGGATGACGGCTCCTTTAACTGTTTACTCATATAGATGTATGTGGGGGTATTACCGTTGGACAGATGTCGTGAAGAAGGCAAAGGAGGGAGTACGCTATTCGAGGCATAGTTACTCCTGGCCCGAAGGCAGAAAGGTCCTCCACGTCCATACATATTTATATACTCAATAGTACAACAATCAAACACTGATAAAGTCTATATATCAAAAATTAGGCTAAGAGAAGAAATTTGGGCTACGTTTTATGTGAGCCAGCTGATACAGAGTAGGCCATGTAAAATAGTAAAAGATTTAGCTATCTAAATAAGTATAATTCCAAACATGATAATGTTACATCTCGCTCAGATGGAAAAGAACAGAATTTTAATGAAAGATACTGAGCCTGTGGTATTGTTGAGATAGACGTCACTCCGTTAAAACTGTGTAAGCGCCATGCCTAAGAGAAAACTATGCGATTGTTCGTAGCTCCCTCCTATTTGCCTCAAGTATTACTTTAATTCTAGGGTGTTAGGTAAAGTGTAGGCCTACTTTTATCGCCTAAATTTCTCTATTGCGCCGGTGCATCATGTGTAAAGGAAAAACTAAGCTAGCCAGTAATTGATCACTGGTATCACCTTGTACGCCGACACAAATTTTATTGTTACAAGAAACCCTGGATGTCTGTATAAGCTATCCCTTTCTAGTGCAGCCCTGGTATGTCTTCATTTGCGCCAGGAGTGTTGTGAAGCGGCTCATAAAATTTCATGTAATAGTAGATTGTATAAAATTAGTGGCCAGCCCATTAAATACCCTAGGGTTTCATCCATCGCAGAGACGCATCAATCTTCCATATCATGACTCCAAGGATGATTAGATTGTCGAGGTCCAAGAGCCAGAATGATTATGATTCAGCTTACAAAACCGCTAGTCGTCTGTGTGATATGTATGTCTCTTTTAACGTTTGAGAGTTTTACATTACCATCATACAGCTTTGGGGAGGAATTAAAGAAACTATTCCGTAGAAATGATTTGAATCCGGATATTTCCTATAGATACATGAGTTAGATACAACTGAATTGTCTGTTAACTCTCCTAAACTCTCATCCAGAGTGATGATCTTTGTATCTCGGCCGCGTTTCCATGCCCAGAAAGGACCCATTTTTCTACTACTGTTGCATCATCAACCTTTGATCTAAAAAGACCACTTTTAGCCCAATACTCTAGCAAACCCTTCGTCTCATCCTTCGTAAGACCACCCAGTTTTAGGAATTCGACGTCAGAAAGGACTTTTTCTGAACGAGTGTCATATTTTTTCTCATAAGGATCCATCTTTGACTCTTCGAGTTTCTGCATACGTTCTTCCCAGCGTTTTACCGAAAGCTCTAAAGTAGGAGATATAGGAGAATGACTTCGACTGGTGGCAGCGAGAAAGGCCCCACCATTGGATAGCGACCTTGCACCAGAAAGGTAATCGGTAAAATGTCTGATAAGCGCCAGGTCTTGTGCATGTATATGGCTCAGGTCAGGTTTGAGATATAGGCTGTTTTGTAGGATATGACTGAGTCCATCTAGACACATTAGGATCGGTGGTCTTCCTTGAGCCGTTATCTCAGCCCAAAAAGCAAGGAAAAAAGGCCAAGATATATCGGGTTCTCGCGCCCCAAGCTCGCAAAGGCGATGGATAGAGGTACTCGAATCTATCTGAGCAGGTAATTTTCTATGAATTTGCGTAACTGGCAGTGAATCTAGAAGTACACTGTTCGCCTGTGCAATTTTGCTGAGAAGTTCGGCAATAAGGTTATTCTGACACCAAAGGTCTGAGTCAGGAATAGGAGCGTAATCGGTAACGGCGTTGGTAACCTCTTGAGCTATAGGATATGAGTAAATCACACCATGAGGCTGGTGCTAACTAACCCTCTGGTATATTTATAACGATCCAGTCTCTGATAAGGCCAGTAGAGATTGCGTGGATTAATAACATGCTCTTTCCGGTTCCTTTAGCGCCATCAATTACGAGCCGCAATGTCTGCTTATTTTCCTGCGCCTGGACCATCAGTTCGGTCAGTATCCTACTTTCCTCACGAATAAGAATACCAGGCTGACGGAAGAGGCGCCAACTCTGTGTGATCTTGAAGGCATTTGCAGCCCTCAGGCCATCTATCACTTTGTCGCTCAAACCAATGACACTTCCAATAAGCTTCGACGCCGGCTCCAGTGCTGAAACAGCAGGTGTATTTTCGCTTGTCTCTGACCCTTTGTCCTTTCCAAGCTGCTTCGTGGGCGATTTGTTTTTTATCGGTGTTGGCTGAGCTTTACTTAGTAGCTCCCGAATCAATGTGTTGTTAAACTCAGGCAATTCAACCTCCAGGGCATTGGTATTACTTAGAACGATCCTTTTACGCATAGCCTTGCGCTCACCCTGTGCAGGCGGCTTTCCCTTTTCTTTGACCGGAGCCTTTTTTGTAATTCGTAGTGAGCTGGTTCCTTTCTTGGGCGGTCCGTTTCGATCGGCCTTGCGATTTGCAGTCGTCGAAAAGGGAATACATAATACAGCGTTTGAAATGACTTGCAAGGAGAGGTTAAAAAGAGGAAATTGAGATGAATAGCATGGCAGTTTCACTAAACATCGCCGATAATTCATAGAGGCCATTTCATTAGCTTTTGGGTTTGCTAATTTGTGTCATAGCGTTTACTGGGTGGGAGGGAATATTAGAAGAATTTACAAGTCTATTTTCAAATTGTCCACTAAGATGCGGCCGCATAAAATAGATACACGAATTTCAGTTTAAATTATTCTCTTATCTCGACACAACAGGTATCCAAAACATCATGACCGACGTCGCTGCAGAAAATGAAGCAGCTAAGCTTTCTGTTCTCGTGAGCAAACCAACCCCATACACCTTTGATCTCGGCCTACTCCTTGCCAGCGACCCAAATCCAATCAACTCTACAATCGCCAGTCGCGAAGACGGTTTAAAAGCCATAGCCCGCGACGGTGCACAAGCCCTGATCAATCAACTTCTACAGACATGCCCTATCTCAAACACGCCTAACGGTGTATTGATGACACTACCACAACCAGAAACAAAGTTACCAAGGGAAAAGGTTCGTTAAACTCCTACCCTTTAAATTTACTTCAAAAGTATATCATACTAACAAATACCACAGCCCCTACCGCCTCCCAAAGTACTCACAACTTGGCAAAAATTCGCCGCTAAAAAAGGAATTGCACCCAAAACAGCTGAACAACGGAAAAAATTGGTGTATGATGACGCGAAAGGTGACTGGGTACCCAAATGGGGATACAAAGGCCAAAATAAAGAGGGCGAAGGTGACTGGATAGTGGAGGTCGATGATCGAAAAGAGCGAGACAGAGAAGAAGGTACTGAACGTCAGGGAGATGGTAAGAGAGAGCGAAAGGAGAAAATACGGAGAAATGAGAGGATGCAGCGCGCGAATGAACGAAAATCGCGAAAAATAAATGGCGGGGCGAAATAATTTATCAGTATACTTCGGTAAACTTGGCTTGAAATAAACTGACAGATAGTGTCTCGGCGTTGAGAGGGAGTATTGGCGTCCATCCAATGCTATCAAAAGACGTCGTCAGGGCACGATAAAGCTCTCTCGCGTCATGGCTCTCTTTTTCGGTGATGGATAGCCAAATATTGAGAGGTGCAGGAACGACCGTCGAATTAAATTCCTTGAGGTTTTAGCAACACCATTGAAAATTGGCGAGACTAAAGGGACACCCTGATTGCATGATTCACTGCAAGGTATGGAATAAATAAAGATGAGAAGAGTGGATGGCCAATTCCTCCCATGTCTGCATTAAAGGCTGCTCAGGGAAGACGACTAGCGATCACAAATAGTAAAATTAACAGCTACCCTCACGAACATCAAGAGCGTGTTTCTCCGCCGCACAAGCTCGATTGACAATATTTCTTGGCTTATTCCTTTCGGTGAAAACACGTGAAAGTTTGCCTTGTGTGTCTCAAATTTAAAGTTCTTCTTTCTGTACTGATAATACCACACATAGAGTGGTTATTAGTACAGATACACCTTAGACTAGTTTGCAAAAAAGAAATATTTGACGGTGTATGCTCTTAGCAGCAAGCTATACACGTCTCACTCAGAATAATTTGGTCAGGTTAGCTTATTTCAGAACACTTATTCGATATGCATTATTAATCTCTCTTTACCAGTGATATAGAATGTTAATTAAAATATCGAATTTGATCTTTATTTCTGTGAATTTTGCCTGAAACGAGTTTCATGAAGTCTTGTGTTGGAAATAGAAGTTCCAGCTACTTTCCGAGATTTCAACAAGGACTTCCTGGAAGCGCTAGAGATCCTTAGTTTCGTATTAGCCTGGAGTTCGCAGATAAACGTATCTTGGAAGATTTCGTTTTCATCACCAAGCTCAATACGAGTACTATGGCTATGTGTTCTAGTCGCCTCTGGCCCAAAATCCTCTATCTCTAGGATCTTACGGTTAGTCTTCAGGGCTCTTAATTTCTTTTAAGTGAGCTTTTTTTCGGAAGGTTCATCTTGTAGTGGCAAGGAGGAATCCCCGTGATTGCCTACAAGTTTTCAAATGTATTGTATGAAAAATAATGAAGCTTCGCTGCATGTGCCTTTTTATTTGAAACATACTCTGCAACTATAGCAGAATTAATTTTTCCCTCAGACTCCCAAGTGTACTTGTCATCTCCTTTCCATCCAAAAAGGTAGTTTGTAACAAGATTTCCTCGCTTTCCCCCCCCCCAACTCTCATCCGGAATGGACTGAATTTCATATTCAGTTTGATTTACAGTGTCCCGAGTAAAAGAGTTAGACTGCTGAGAAAATATACCAGTAGAGGGCTCAGATGCGGAGAAGCCATTAATATTTGGTTGATAAAGGCCTTTGAATCTCTCTTTTTTCCTTTTAGATTCATTGTAAGCCATAACTTCAGAAGTCAAATGAGGCATAGAATCAACTATGCTTTTCTGAGAAGAGCTCAGAGACGCTGCATCAAGTCTATTGGTATTCCAAATAAGGTCGTCTTTTAAAAGTTCTGAGGAAGTCTTAGTCAATTTTGATAGCAGAGTTTGGCTTTGTTCTATGTCTGTAGGTGTCGAGGGAGGATTTTCGTTTGGAGAATAAAGGTTGGCCCTGGTCTCAAGGCTTGATTTAGGAGCGATATATTTATTGTCTGAACATCCTCGATCGCCTTTCCTGGAAAAATGAGACGCGGATTGAAACTGGGTTATATATTCATCCCCCATATCTTTCACGCGGAGCTTATTGTGACGAATAATTGGAGAAGGTAATAGTTTGCTTGGAGATGAGGTAGAAATCGTAGGAACTTGGCAATCAATCTCAGGCCCTGTAGATGTCATATTACTTGACTGTGGATCTGAGTTACAAGCCTGCAATGGCGGTATCGGTTTAGCTCTCTTCCTCTTTTTGCTAAGAGGCTTTCGCTTTCGCCGAGCCTTTGCGTCTTCACGTGACGGTTTATGGGAAGATATCATCGCCTTTTGCTCAGAATTAAACTTGTCCAGATGCCACTCTTCAATGGATTTGGAAGAAACGTAGTCACGGGCATTTTGGTCGTCAACACACACCAAAAGATGTGGCTTATCCTTCCAAGCCACAATGTACTTATTACTATTACTACATTTGTCATTTTTAAATTCTGAAATGATGTATCCATCCCGGTCATTATTATCAACATCAGTTACGAGGGTGGGGTCGGGAGCTGTTGGTGCTGAACCTGATCTGTAAGCCGAATGTTCAGCAACTATAAAGTCAAACTGGATCTTCAGGCGTTTTGGTGCTGGAGATTTAAGGGTGGAAGATTTCGGGTGGTGCGCTGTACCCATTTTTGGGAAGTCAGGGGCGCGTTTTTCTTGTTGATACTGCTGTTGTTGTTGTTGCAAGGTGTAGTAATGTAATTTAATTACTTCGCATTAAGCTATTTAAATACCAGTGAATTTCGTTAAGTATCATTAAGAGGTATAATGGAAGGTACAAGAAGAAGGATTAGCATGTGAGGTGAAAAGAAAAGATTTTGTGTGAATTTGAAGTATGGTAACAACACAGGGTCAGACACATCAGGTCTACTGAAGTAAGATTTTGGATCGCGCACGGTCCCTTTGTTTATTACATCACAACATGCGCTTGGTGCCGGGATGCACAAACACGTGTGCAACAATGGTTGGGCCGACCCACAGGGTACCACAAATTTGACAACTCATGTGACACATTAAGCCACTCATCTCGTTCGGAAGATTCCAGATCCTTGGAACATATCTTTTCTCGATCATTCTGGGGCTAATTGAAATATAAACAGCTAAAGACGTTCCCGGTTAGTCATTTACAAGGACTAATGAAAGTACCTCATGAGAAAATGTCCTTCACTCTCGAAGCATTTAAATAAATGAAGTCTTTATAATCCGTTTTTTACAGCCTGTAGTTATAAATAAGGGATCTAGAATACACCTAGTCATTGTTATATCAAAGGTAACGTAACTGGTTAGAGTAATTTTTTGAGATGCCTGAAGTCAATTGGAAATCTTTTTTTGATAGAGCCAATATGGAGCCTACAATAACGAAGTACTTATAAATGATTTGTGACCTTGAATAAACTGACTGTTAGCTGTATTTGTGCTAGCTGGCGCAGACTGTACTCATTTACTAAGTCGACTCGGACAAGAATATTTTAACAAACTCTACAGTATGCGTACTAAGATAATCTTGATCAAGACTATGTGAAACTACGCCAGAGATGAGACGAGAAATCCGGGAATATTGGAGTTTAATTATCCCAGAAATTCTTCAAGATTAATGGCGAAGCAAGCCTTGGTGAGAATATACGAAAAATTGACATTTTTCAAATAGTTCGCCACAAGCCGAAAGGTAAATCGCAACCTTCGGTAGAAACTTTCTTTTCTTTTTAAGCCCAATTTGTGTCATACATTTAGACTTATTCTCTCCCACAATTGCGATGACGAGACATAATAATCGATCACGACTACGCATTATACTCTTTCAAACAATAGATAATGACACATTACCCACCCAACTGCGGAATATTTTTACGACACAATATACTGACGTATTGTTACTAATCACAGAATTACGCGAAGCTTAATAATGATTGAATAATGATCTAGTCTCGCAAGATATCTCAGCAGAAAAGTGTACTAAGGTTACTTTCATGAAGATCTTTATACTGAGATGGGGAGTCGTCCAAGAAAACATATGAAATCTAGCGGTTATCAGCCAGTTTATCCTGGGAGAAAATCAAATTTGCCGTCAATAAAAATCAGTTGGAATAAGTATGGCTAAGATCATTTCCAGGAATTTTCAAAAACCTACGTAGCCGAAGAATTCATTACAAAAAGGTAATGTGTGGTTTTTTTTAAGGTCTGCATATAAACGGCCTGAATGAAATGAGAATGAAAAAAAATCAGTTGGAACTCGTTTCCTCTGTAGAATAACAAGCTTACGAAACAAACCTGTTATTTCTGGCTGGAAGACACGAAAATTATCATACTGAGCGGAATAATAAAAGTTACAGTACAAATGGCCATTATGACTGATCATCTTTTAGAAATTCTTTGATTTTATGAAAATAGTGGCCCTCATTGCACAAAATTTCCAAGAGATATAGAAGCGTACCTAATCTACTCAGTTGCTTTTTGATATCGTCCTCGTTCTAAAAAAGGCGCGTGGTAGGTTATAATTTACAAATCCAAGAGCAAGAGATTTTGAATGAAAGAAAAGGTAGTACAGGCTTTGATCATGTTATATTACTCGAATTGGATTCACTAAGTGATACTGTAATGCGTGTAAAATTTTCCTCGCAGTTTATTTGCAAAACCCTCATGATTTAAATGGAAAACTGAGGATCATGTCATTTTACTCCAGAAAGAAGAGCTCTACTATCGCTATGGGCAAAGAGGATGTAATAAAAAATTTGCAGGCTGTTATTATAAAGTATTTCAAAGGAGAAAAACTTCAAAAAATATAAAACTTCTTTTATACATTCGAACCCGAGCTTATGTGGGAAGCTTGAAAGATAAGAATATTTACACGACTTAAAACAAAGAAAAGTGAAAAACTCCGGCAAAAACGCGAGGAGTAAATTGAAAATTTTAACCAAGGCTAAGAGTAACTTTGAGCCTATATATCATCAAACCATCGTTAAATTATCACATAAGGTCTTAGCCTTAATAGATAACGGCTGTTCTATTCTGGTATCATCTAAATTGGAAATACGACACTGCCATAGCTGCTACACATGTTGACGTATCTATTGATGTTAGTATACAATAGAGCTAGCCTACAAAAAACATATTCTTAACGAAATCAAGATGGAGAAGGTTTTTATTCTTGCAACATACAAAGAGAATCACAGTTACCAACACTGATCCAAGTAATTTTCGTTGCAAAGCAACCATAATTAGATGTCACAGATTAACTATAGAAAACAGAGAGCATTTGTATGA